GAGGAGGAGGAGGAGACCTGCATCAGTTGTTGAGACAATCATGTGCCTTCCCGCTGTCAGTGTCAATGTCACTTGAACCCATTAAACCCGTTTTTAGACACTAGATTCACTTTTCTACTTTGTGGCTATCCAATCCTCTCCCCTCTCCTCTCTCCCCAAGTGGCAAATATTTTTTATCACCACTGCCCTAATCTTCGAAACTGCACATGGATGTACGTAGACTCATTCCACTCATCCATTAATAACCCTCGACTACCCTTCCCTATTGTTTAATCAGCCTACAGAAAGCTCCTGTAATAAATGCAGGAAGATTAACAGGAAAAATTGCATAAAAAAGGACGATAATGAAATGGAATAAGTTCTTAATGGATTTTTACAGCCTCACCATTGACAGCAAGTTAGGTAATTGATGACTACTCAAATCAACCTGACATCCCTACGTATAGTCTGAGTTATTCCTAAAAATACTACAAGATTTATGATTCAAAAACAATGGGGTGGGAAGCTAGACGGTGTAACAGAGCAGGCAAGGGGTAGAGATAGACCGTCCAATTTTTTCATTTTCTATTTAGCAAATTCCCACTTTTGTCGTCCAAACCGCCAAATATAGCTATTTTCGAGATTGAAAGCTTTATGGTTAAAATCAGAAGGGAGTTACTAGCCTCCACCTAGAGGGCTTTCTTCGTTACCATTAATGATCGAATGTCATCATAAAAGATCAGGGTCAATTAGAATCTGTTACAGTCCATCTCTTTCAGGAAAGGTCCAAGACACCTTTTAATTACCATCAAGCATTACTTAGAGTTCTGTACATTCTACTTGGTAGCTACAAATATGCCAAAAATACTATTATTATAGGGAAACCGGTCGTATAAACGATATCCAAATGATTTACTGGCAGTGAACGCCGTCCGAGCTACCTCTAGGGATGTAGTGATTGAGTAGTCACTTAATTATGTACTTAACTGCCCGTACAACTCAGTCTCTGCAGATGGCAGCTCCACCCAGAGAAGTGGCTTTCTGCCCATGTTCCAGCGTGATGGGGAGTTAATAAATTTTCCACCCTGGTATGGTTTATTATGACATATGAAAAGACTGAGATTGTTGAGTCGGTGGTAGCGGTAAGCGAACTCTATCCAAAGGGACAACAATCCCACTTTCTTTATGTTACTGGCAAAGCAATAAATCTCCATTCCTCCGACCGAAAAAGAACACAGTGCGGAAGCATGGTACCTCTTATCTTCAAGCCCCTTGTCGACAAATATCACTACGACGAGTGAGAGATATCCGGAACATGTTTGTCAAGGAAGATAGTCTAGGCTTTATTGCTATCTTTGAACGGACTCACCTCTAACAAAATTCGCCCTCCAACTTTGGTCCTGCTACGCAAGGACGGCCAGGCACACCGGAGTAGTACCTTAAAAGAGGGGGACTCTGTAATGATTTGATGATTTTTTACTCGAAGGGGTTTTAAGCCTCTGTAGTTTGTACTTCTAATATGGTTGCATGGTTTCCGGCCGGAATTTTAGGCTCCCAGTCTTTCCGTACACTATGCATAGCTCTCTCATACCGGTTTGGCTATTATGAATTTTGGGAAGAGTCGAGTTGCTCCAGTTTTAACTTTTGGCTTAATTACTTTATCCCTGGCGGATTGGCACAGCTGGTGGCTTCAGGCTACGCCAAACAGTCTCCTAACATTTATTGTCACCTATGATAAAGCCACTTGCATAGCAGGGTGCACAGATACCAGCCTACTATTGTTATTGTTATTGTCACCTGCCATAGCTCATCACGTGACAGAAGTGGATGTTCGCTGATTTCAGGTGATCTACCTCACAATCGCTCTTAGTTGTCCTTTTAAGGAACCAAATACCTCTCAGAGCCGCCATTATTCAATAACAATATAGAAAATTGAACCGAATGAATACATTCAGGGCTCTCCCTAAGTTACTCTCCATATTTTAAACTTTCATTAAGCCATAAGTAGGAGGATGTTTAAGGTTTTTGTTTATCTTCTAGGTTGTTATAGACCTCAAAGAAAGCACTATTTCAGTAGCCTCAAAGTTAATCTATGACGTTGCTCTAGTTTAATTAAGGAGGAAATCAGGGAGTCAACGGTTTCTAACTGTACAGTACTTTTTGAAGAACCGAACCCATTACTTGCCTTAATTGTACATTTTGCTACCCTTGCCTTTTAGCCACCCGCGATTCGTCCCCTCACCCCGTAAAGGTGGTGGCATGAAGATAGGCCCATATCACCTACACTGCTAGCCTCGGATGGTAACAGCTTCCAAATACTGTTTTGAAGAGTCTTCAGAAGTAACATAGGTGACACAATGAGTAACCAGTTAGTAGTTTTTGGTCATAAATATAAAAGCTGGATCTTTGGACAGCAAGCCTTTGTAGCAAGGGCAGTAAGTAATGGAATTCTGCCCTTTTGGAGAGAATTCAAAAGTTATTAAGACTGACCATGATGGCACTAAATTCCAAGTTTCGGCCACCGATTTGTTAGTATTCTTCGGCATTATTATAGCTGACCAAGTCCAGAGAAATACATCAATCAAGCTATCACAGTGGAAATTTGGTCCGCCGTGGTGAGTATGTGATAAATAATGGCAGCTCGCCACTGCAATGTTGACAGCCATACTGTGACTGTGAGAGAAAAAATTTGTGGGCATTCCAAAATGAATGGTAACAAGGACAACAACAAGAACCACGCGCATGCTCACATGCATATGCAAATGATCGCACCAGTTGGGGGTCAGATGGCATTCGCAGTGCTAACATTTTAGCCTATGCCAATTTACCCCTTTTAAGTTGCTTCTAAAGCTTGTAAGTAGCTTTACCACTGACTTACTGAAGGATAGAGGGAGATTAGTAGCGTAGCTACTAATGCCGTGAGTTAACTGTGGGAGATTTAAGTGGCCTATTTAGTCCACAGTGCTTTAAAGATTCTGCCGTTTTGTTATTTTCTCTCATTAAGTATTATCCACTACACCTTCTAGGTATCTGGGAACTGTATCGAGATAGAATTTCACTGCCTAGGGAGAATGCACACAAGAGAGCCGAAACGTCAGAAGAGTAGTCGGTACGAGCAGGGATCTGTGCCACCGAATGGAGAAGGCTTGACAATGTCCAAATAGTCAACAAATACATAAGGGAAATGCATTGCTCAAGGCTGAAAGATAAATTATCGCTAGCGTAGTCCGCATCTCCATCGTTTTGGGGCAAAATTTGGCCTAAAAGCAACTTGGTGGAGGAGGACAGCTTGCCCTTGCTTAATGGTCATTTAAGGTAGCCAAAAAACTTCGTGTGGTTTTCTAATAAAAGTGTAATAACGGCAGAAGTAATCGCCATTACTATTAATCGTCCTTCTTTTAAATGTGACACAAGCTTGTCAACTCCAAACTGCCGCCCTACCCACCTACACCTCCACCTCAGTTGCA